GTGCCTGCAAGGCAGCACCCACTGCAGGGATGAGCTGGGGGGCCTGGCTCGGTCGCTGGCTTATTGATGTCTGCCAGCACTTGCTAAAATGGGCTCCCTGCACCTTTCACGGCAACAGCCAGACTGAACTTTCTCTGTTAATATGTGCTCCTAAGGGCAGGATTTGGCTGGGATCCGGAGGGATTTCTGAAATTAAATCATTGCTATGCAAGCAGGGATTTCAGCAGAGCTGGGAAATCCAGAGATAAATAAAACACCAGCAGAACAGAGCAAGCTCCAGCCTCAGATTTGCTTCCTTCACGATCCTACAACCCAAGAGCATCTGCACTGCTTGCAGCCCTGTCTGAGTTCATCGGTTCCGCGATGGTGAGACCTTTTCCTCCAGAGAAACCAGGAGCTACTCAGCCAGCCTCCTCCCTCCTTACCCTCACACCTACCCACCCTGAGCTTGAACAAGAAGAAACTGCATCTACTTTTGCAGCAAGAGAAAGATGAGAGAGGCACATCTCCTGCCTCCGCTCAGAGACATGGCAGGGAAATCCTTATCTCCTTCTCAATCCGCAGACACGCTCACACTGCAGCTTGGCTGTCTTGCCCAGTTCTCTCCAAAGATTTAACAATTAAGGACTGTACTGTAGAGGGTTAGGCACTTCTCCTAGACCTGTTGGAGAACATTAAATGGCATTTTTCCTTTCCTAGAATAATCCTTCCCTGTGACTCACAGGTTTTTTACATGCACAAGTAAGTTGAGCCTTCAAGCCTGCTGGGGTGGCAGGTGGATGCTGCCAGTCCTGTTTTATAGTTGGGGAAACAGAAAAGGAGAGACTTGGTTCAGGTAGGAAGCCAGAGCAGAGCAAGGACCAGAGCCCAGCTCCGGCTGCCCTAGGGAACGGTGCAGGCTGGTGCACTGGTGCCCAGCGGAGGGCTTGGTATTGCTCTTGGCATGCTGCGCAAGCACTCTCTGGCCACGTTGCTGAGCCTCACGGTGCCCCAATCTGCTGCCACCTGGGGACTGGGAAAGCAAAAAAAGACCCTGAAGCAGTCACGAAACTAGAGCAGCAAGAGATTTTCAGGTTTGAACACGGGCAGAATTTAGAGACCCAAGTGGCTCGCCATGTTTCCAAGCCATTTGTTTGAGGCCGATTCCCTTGACTGGGGGCTTTTCCCATTTATAGGCTCAGCTTATTCCCAAGCTTTAGCACAACTGCGTTTCTAAAACCACCTGGAGCAAGTGCGTGAGCAGGAACAAGGTGCTGCAGGTCGATCAGAGCTGCCCCTTCTCCCACATGGTACAAAGCCCTGTCCCTGTCTGCCAGGCAATGCTGCCTTGCTCCTGCCTGCAGAAATCCCCCACAGCTGGGCAGATCTGCAATGCAAATGTAAAACAAAAGCTCTAACATCCCTTCCCACAGTTACCATGGCACTCCCTACACCTGCCTGCTCTTTAAAATCTACCCCTCTCCTTCTCTAAGAATTTGCTACACCAGATCTAGCTGCTTGTGCAGGCTATAAACATCCCTATCAGCTCTCTGTGGAGGGCCAGATCCTGCCACCCTGAGCCCCACAACAGCAGGGTCGGTTGCTTCCCTAGCGAGCGCAGAAGGTGTAAAGCATCAGCAGGGGCTGCTGAGGTGCTTCAGGGTTTCCATTTCATCCACCCTCCCCTGACCCCCACTCCAAGTCCCCATGTCCCATCTTCCTGGCCCTGGGTCAAGGCAGACATCCCCCGCTTCCCGCAATCTCCCTTTTAAGTGCTCGTGACTCCCTGAGCCTGTGAGGAGATAGCTATTATTTACAAAATGACGGAGTGCTATTTTTACTTGCTTCTTGGAAGCACTAGGAGCAGTAGCAGAACTGGAATACAAATTACGCTGCCTTGCTGCCTCTCCCCTCACCAGCTGTAGATTGTAGGGCTGCCTCTACAAGTGATTACAGGAGGCGGGGGGCATAAGGGGCTGAGGAGGCTCTTATTAAACATCCCACTGCACTCATCAAGTGCTGTTTATTTAAGAATCTCAGCCGTAATATAATCGACTCGGCCGGTTGTGTTTCAGCTCTTGAGGTTTGTGGATGTGCTGAACACAGTCACGTTTCCCAGGCGGGGGTTCCCAGAGGCTATGCCGCAACCTAGCAGAAATGATGTGCCTGCATCTGAGCGCTGGAGGCTCCCAAACGATGTGCACTATTAAAACAGAGGCAAAGCCACTGCGGCTTCATGCAGGGGATTCCTGGCTGCTGCACTGACGTCAGGGAGGCTGCACAGCCTTACCTCGGAGATAAGCTGGATGAGCGAGGGCGTGGGGACCTCCTTGAGGCTGTGCTCCACATGGCAGTGCTCCAGCTCTGCCCCAGGGCTGTGCCGGGACCTAAGGGAGCTCGGAGGTGACAAGCCTGTCTATACTGGTGTTTCCGTGTGTGATGGCATGGCTGAGACTACAAAGTAGGACAGTGCTGTTCAGGCTCTTCTACACCCAGGGGTACAAACCCTCAATCTGCTCCAGGCCAGCTCCTGGAGGCAGATGTTTCTGCACAGGGTTCCCTGTGAACTGCTCTGGACTCCAGCCAGCCCAATATCCCATCTCCAACTATGGTCACAACATAAAAAGTGCAGTAACAAGCTGATAATGGCCCTTACCTGCAGCTTAGGAGGTCTTAGTCTTAGTCTACTAAGATTGCAACTCAGTCTGCTAAGACTGCAACTGCAGTCTTAGGAGGTCTTAGTCTTAGCCTCAGCTCAAGACTCTCTCAGCTTGATGAGCTCCCCTTATTCAGTGATCCTCTTCCAAGGACCTGT